GCCTGGAGAATCCCACGGACAGAGGAACCTGGCAGGCTACAGTCCTCAGGCTCGCAAAGAGTCGGACACAACTGAAGCAACTTAGCACACACGCGGGTACAATCTTGATAGTTCTCCCTTCTGCCCATTGTCCTAGAAGTGTCTTCATCTTTCATACTGAATGGTCCCTTTCTTTTGCAGAGTCTACAGCATGGTTGGAACTGCCTGAGTGAGTAATTTTATTTGTGAGGAACTGCTGTTCTCTAATTACTAATATTTGTTGAGTACTTACCATATGCCAAGCACCATCTCTGTTTTTCTACAAAGCAATCCTATAAGGTAGGTACTTTCATTATCTCCCATTTAAAGATGAAGAAACAGACTTAACAGGTCAGAAAAAAACCCTTAGAAAGTGTACTTCATCTTGGGCAGGTCACTAAACCCTAAGGACAATCACGCGTACTTCAGTGTATTGTACCTGGGTTCGATCCCTGAGTTGGGATGATCCCCTGGAGAAGAAGAAGGCTACCCACTCCAGTATTCTGGCCTAGAGAATTCCCTGGACTGTACAGTCCACAGGGTCGCAAAGAGTCGGACATGACTGAGCAACTTTCACACACACACAGTGTATTGTTATGAGGATCAAGTAAGTGAAGGTGACTGCCAGACACCCAAGGGGCACTTTTCAAACTAATGGGACAAACAGATGAAAAACAGAATTTGTGGGACTTCCCTGGTGGTTCAGTGGCTAAGACTCCGTGCTCCCAATGCAGGGGGCCAAGGTTCGATCCTTGGTAAGGGAACTAGATCCCACATGCCACAGCTAAGAGTTCATATGCTACAACTAAAGATCCCACATGCCACAAGTAAGACTCAGTGCAGCCAAACAAATACAGCTAAACATTTTATTAAATGTTTAATAAATGTTTAATAGAATGTTTAAACATTCTATTTTTTAAAAAGTAGAATTTGTATGTTGCTTGCCAAAGGTACTTCTGCTATACTTGCTCAGCTATAAATCTCCAGAGGTTGGATCACAAAATTGGTCAAAGATAACACCTACCAGACCTTCTCCGGACAAAACTGGGTAAAGAAAGCAACTTGTGTTTCTCAGCTATAATACAGCTTGCTGAAGAAATCATCTGGGGAACTAGTTAAAATGAAGATTCCTAGGACTTTCCTAGTGGCCTAGTGGCCTATTGGCTAAGACTCTGCACTCCCAATGCAGGGAGACTGGGCTTGATCCCTGGTCAGGGAACTAGATTTCACATGCAGCAACAAAGATCAGAGATCCAGCATGCCACAACTAAGACCTGAGCAGCCAAATAAATACATACATACATACATACATACATATATATATATATATATATTTCTTTTTTTAATGGTAAAAAATGAAGATTCTTGGGACCATCCCCACCCTCACAGCACTGATGAGTAAGAAAGGTGCTTTTTAAAGCTCAAGTAATTCATATATACTCCTAAATTGAAGAACAACTATCAAAGATGTACTTATATAAATACATAAACACGCACACACACATATATATACATACAAATTATATTCAGTTCAGTTCAGTCACTCAGTCGTGTCCAACTCTTTGCAACCCCATGAACCTCAGCACGCCAGACCTCCCTGTCCATCATCAACTCCCAAAGTCCACCCAAACCCATATCCATTGAGTCAGTGATGCCATCCAACCATNTGATCTTAGTTTTCTGAATGTTGAGCTTTAAGCCAACTTTTTCACTCTCCTCTTTCACTTTCATCAAGAGGCCCTTTAGTAGTTCTTCACTTTCTGCCTTTTTGTTAAGTTTTTATCAAGAAGGATGCAAACACAATACTGGAACCACTGGACACAATTTATTTGTCATGATTTAGACAGAATGAGCACAGTGACACATTCAAGCAGAAACCTACAGTATTTCTCTTTCTAAATAAGTCAACAGCATCATATATTTGAAAAATATCAAAAAGTGCCAGAATGAAATCTAAGTAGAGAGGTCTTAAGCCACTGGTAGTCCCAACTTGAAAATCACTTTGGAGGCTTGAAAAAAATTCATGTACATGGGCCCCCTTATAAACTGAATTAGAATACCTAAGGGTCTAATCTAGGCATTTATATGCTGAAATTTTCTGCAAATGATTCTGATTATCTCCCTACTTTAGAATCACTGATAGGACTTCCCTGGTGGGCTACTGGTCCAGAATCCATCTGCCAATGCAAGGGACATGGGTTCGATCCCTGTTCCAGGAAGATCTTACACTCCACGGGACAGCTAAGCCTGTGCACCACAACTGTTGAGCCCGAGCTCCGCGACAAGAGAAGCTGCTGCCAGGAGAAGTCAGAAAGTGGTCTCCACTCTCCACCAACTAGAGAAAGCTCATGTGCAGCAACGAAGACACAGCACGGCCGAGAGTAAGTAAGTTAATAGAGTTAAAAGAAAAGAATCACTGATAACCATTGTGAGGTGTACTTTTTCTGTTTCCAAGGTAGTACCGATCCGTTTGTTTCTGCTTAGGACAAAGTGGTCGACAAAGTAGAAGCCGAATGTGGCTCAAACGCTGCTCAACACCTCTCGCTAACATTGTATTACCATAGCTCTCAGGATTTGTCCCCTAATTTATGCTATGAAGAGCCAAGAGAGGCCAACAACATGGATATTCAGTGGCCACTAACTAAAGGGCACACAGGCACGTGGGCATGCACACACACACACATACCCATAAGTCTTAGGTCTCCTGTCAACATTTTCTTCTCACTGCTCCCTCATTCGGGAACCCTCTGGTCTTCACAGTCTATGCTTATCTTCAAAAGTCTTGATTAGCTGGTCTAAGTGTCTCCTCATCTAGCTATAGACACTGAAGTTAAGTGATTTGCAGATGGTCCCTCAGCTACAGGGGAGTGGAGCCAGGGCTCAGACTAACTCTGACTTCAGCTCAACATTCCCCTCAGTACTTGTTCACTCCCTGGATGTTCAGTGGGATGCTCTCTCTCCAGCCCAACCAGCGGGACAGGACTTGGCTCTGAAAAGGACCATGCACTTGGTCTGCTGCCCTGCTCTATCTAGAAATTCTTAACTTTTTTAACAGAAGATCCTGCATTTTCACTTCACACATGGGCTTGCAAATTACGTAGCTGGTCCTACCTCTAAGTGAAGAGGGCTGCTCGTGGCCCCGAGATAAACTAGTCATTCACCTGGGAACCTGCAGAAAGCAGAGAGCCACAGTTCAGAGTCTCAGCGTCAGCTCTGACCACCCTACCCATCCCTAAGATGATCTTAGCTTCCCTGAACCCTCAAACCCTCAAGTCCTACCTGGACAAACTTCATGAAAGAGAGCTCTGTTCTCCAGGTATGTGCTAATAGAGGTAGTATTTCAATTACCCTTTGATTCTTGCTAGAAGGCAAGTAACTGCATTCCTATTTAACTTTGAATTTGCTAATAGAAATGATGACTAATTGGACAACATTTTAAAAATTCTCTTCTCACCAGATCATTCTCTAAAAATTATACTCTCAAACATATCAACCACCATTCACTTGTACTCTGACAGCTTTACAAACAGCCCACATTTTGAAAAATTCTTTCAAACAAATCTTGGCAAATGTTTCCTGTTTTTCTTAAGCTTATAAAGACAGTGTTATTTTCATTTGTTTAATTATGCTTAGTTATCTTATCTGACATGGCCAGATGATCCAGCATTGTTTTTCAAGTCTTGTTTTTAATTTAACAAGGTAATGCATCAGTTGGAAGCAACTGTTTATGTTTTATTTTGTTCTAAGAAGTCCCCTTTAGTGATCAGGAAAGACAACAAATTTAAAAGAAGGAATGGCCATTGCATTTTCTTTGGAAATCATTTTAGAGCTGCAAAAAGATCTTATAAATCACCACATGTGTTGTCCTTATTTTCCCATAAGAACAGAGATTGTGATTTGCTCCTTGAATCACCATGTCAAGTTCAAAGCACAGGAAGAGACTCCAGGGCTACGTTTCAGCATATCTGTTCTTAACCAGTTCCAAGTAAGTTAGACTGACAATCGCTAAGGATATTGCAGAGTTCAAACTACAACTCTAGAAATTGAAGTGCATATAATCCTTAAACAAAAAAGCCCCTCCACTATGCTCTCTAAAGATGTTAAGAATCACTACTGTGATAAGTGCTAATCAAGAATATTACTTCTGGATACATTATATAAAGGTCACATGAAATGCATCACATATATAAATCCTTAATGGGATCATCATTGTGAGATGGGACTACCCTTTGCCACGTCAAATTTTTCTTAAGAAGGTGACACAAATGTAGGACATGCAATTTGATCACAGTATATCTGAATCAGAGAGGAATAACTATGAATCACAGAGGAACTGTTTCCAGGACTGATGCAAAACATTTGGCCTTTTGGTCACCAGCATTCTTCGGACATACATGGATCACTGTCCTCATGCCCTTGTATCTTTCTTACTTGTGGAAGTATTTGTGTCTCACTAGACTGAACCTCTTAAAGGCAGAAATAAATGATGTGTTAGCCATTCATCCTTTCATATCCAGCATCAATGCCTGGTACACAGCAGCAAGTAAATGAATAAAGATATGAATGATTCAATATCTTATGGAATTTCTGTATTTTCACATGATTTATTATAATGAGGACTTCCCTGGTAGCTCAGACAGTAAAGAATCTGTCTGCAATGCAAGAGACTTGGGTTTGGTCCCTGGGTCAGGAAGATCTCCTGGAAAAGGAAATGGCAACCCACTGTACTATTCTGGCCTGGAAATTCCCATGGGCAGAGGAGCCTGGTGGGCTACAGTCCACAGAGTCACAAAAGTCAGACATGACTGTCAGACACACTATTACAGGGAAGGAGAAGTTTATAATCTCAGTGAAAACAGAAAAATAGGCATTATACTTTAAAAAAAGTAGCCTCCTATGCCTGTACAGTGTTAATGAGGCAGGAAACAATTATGTAATTAAACAATTAATGAGTGAGGAGAAGCACAAAGTTATCCACTTACTTGCAAGCAAGCCAACTCCACTTGCAAGGGATCCAATCCAGGCTGTTTTTCCTTTTCCTTCACCAAAGGCGTCCAGCCATTCTATGTACAAGACACCAACAGCTAACGGCGATCCATAACACAAAAACTGAGTAAAGAAGGAGACAGCCACAATCACCCAGCCCCAGCCACCATCAGGTGACTTTTTAAATTCCATTGTAATGTGAGGTCTAGGAGGCGTCTCTCAGTGGGTCCTGAGCAAAAAAAAAAGAAAAAAGAAAAAGCATATTTAGAGTGTGGTGAAGCATGGAACTTTAGATTTAAAATAGCTCCTCCTAAATTGAAATATTAAAAAGTTCTCTAAAAATACACAAGGAAAAGGATAAGAGATCACTCTTATCCAAATTACTTTAAAGATCACTAATATCCAAATTAACTTTAAAATTTTTATTTCTGATTTGAATAAGTACTATATCCACATGTTTCCAAAAAAATGTTTTTTATATTATAAAAGGGATACATTAGGAGTTTGAAATGAACATATATGCACTACTATATATAAAACAGATAACCAACAGGCACCTACTGTATATCATGAAGAACTATAATCAATATTTTGTAATAACCTTTAAGGGAAAGAATCTAAAAAGAATATATATATATGTGTGTATTTATATACATATATAGGTGTATATATACATACATATATATACACACACACACACAATATATGTACAACTCAATCATGGTGCTGTACACCTATAACTAACATGACACTGTAAATCAACTATACTTCAAATTTTTTTAAAAAGGCATAGAGTGAAGTCTCCTTCCTAAATTTATCCCCATTCACCAGGTTCCCACCCCAAGCCAACCACAGGAAATGACTGTTTTGGATTCTTGCTGCATGTTGAGTTCCCTATGAAGAAGACTCTTAGCAGGAGAAGGTTTATTAAAAGTGCTCTCATTGGAAGAAAACAGACAGTAGCAAGAGAAGGCAAGCCACCATTCGGAGTTAAGGGCTAAGGAGATTTCCAAAGCCGGGCTGGCCCCTCAGAGTTGCCTTGAGCGGCGCAAGAGGAGCTGGCCCTTCACACCCCCGTGTTGATAACCCACCAATTGCAGATCGCCCGGGAAGAGGGTGTGACCCCGGGTGAGGTGACTATTCAAAAGGGGCAACCATTACCCCCGGGGGCTGTTACCTGAAGCCATCTGTCAGCAGCCCTTCAGTTCTGGGGGCAAGAAACCTTTCATTCCTAACGGGGGTGTGGAGGGAGGGTAGACAGCATGTCACAATGTTCACCAACTCAAGTATCCCTCCGGAGTTTCTTTTTTTAAAAAAACATATTTATTTATTTTTGGCTGCGCTGGGTCTTCCTTGTGCTATGTGGGGGCTTCTCGCTGCAGGGGCTTCTCCTGGTGCAGAGAACAGGCTCTAGACTCGGGTTGCAGTAATTGTGGCTCCCTCTCCCCGGCTCTAGAGCACAGGCTTAGTAGTTATGGCACATGGGCTTAGTTGCTCCATGGCATGTGGGATCTTCCCAGATCAGGAATGGAATCCATGTCCCCCGCATTGGCAGATGGATTCTTAACCACTGGACTACCAGGGAAGTCCCCTTCAAGAGTTTCTTTATGAATATAACAAGCAAAAACAAGCAAATAGTCTTAGATGTCCTTTTTTCAACAAAACATTCAGCAAGAGGAGCTGGCCCTTCACACCCCCGTGTTGATAACCCACCAATTGCAGATCGCCCGGGAAGAGGGTGTGACCCCGGGTGAGGTGACTATTCAAAAGGGGCAACCATTACCCCTGGGGGCTGTTACCTGAAGCCATCTGTCAGCAGCCCTTCAGTTTTGGGGGCAAGAAACCTTTCATTCCTAACGGGGGTGTGGAGGGAGGGTAGACAGCATGTCACAATGTTCACCAACTCAAGTATCCCTCCGGAGTTTCTTTTTTTAAAAAAACATATTTATTTATTTTTGGCTGCGCTGGGTCTTCCTTGTGCTATGTGGGGGCTTCTCGCTGCAGGGGCTTCTCCTGGTGCAGAGAACAGGCTCTAGACTCGGGTTGCAGTAATTGTGGCTCCCTCTCCCGGGCTCTAGAGCACAGGCTTAGTAGTTATGGCACATGGGCTTAGTTGCTCCATGGCATGTGGGATCTTCCCAGATCAGGAATGGAATCCATGTCCCCCGCATTGGCAGATGGATTCTTAACCACTGGACTACCAGGGAAGTCCCCTTCAAGAGTTTCTTTATGAATATAACAAGCAAAAACAAGCAAATAGTCTTAGATGTCCTTTTTTCAACAAAACATTCGTTTGGTTCAAAATGGAAAAAAAATGACAGAAGATATACAGTCTCCCTCTACCTAGTTCCTGTCTAATCCCCATACCCTTCAAAGGTAACCAACACTTCTTGTTTCTCTTGTATCTTTCTAGAACTGAAGCAACTTAGCACGCACTCACACAGAATTAACTTATAAATACATAAGCTAACTCAAATACAGATTCCCTCTAATTTTTTTACACACAAAATAATAGCATGTTATATATACTGGTATGTGTCTTGCTTTTTCTCACTTGAAAAATACCTTGAAGATCTTTCACATCAATTCGTAATAACCATCCTCACTCCTTTCTTTCGGCTACGTTGTGTTCCAGTAATTCTGAATTCTTTAACCAGTCCCCACTGCTCCCAATGAAAAACAATGCTGTAATGAATAACCTCAAATACACATATATCTTTCTACATACCTGAAAAGAATTGCTGAGTCAACTACAAATATGCATTTGTAATTGTAATCAGTATTAGCAAGTTGACTTCAAGGGATTAAACCAATTTATATGAGCCCCAGCAACTTTGGGTGTCTTGTGAAACTTTTGGATTTTTGCCAATTTGTTGGCTTTAACTTACATTTCTCAGCATTCTCTGAATTATATGTGTTGTTTCATAGGTGAAAAGTCATTTGTAATTTGTATCTAATTCCTGGGTACATATGGGTGTTTCTGGATTTTTCCTTCTGTTCCAATGATCTGTTTAGTCACCCATCATTACCAAATTTGTTTAACTATTAAGTCTTTCTTTTTCTTTTGGCCAACCCGTGTGGCTTGCAGGATCTTAGTTTCATGACCANACTGAGTTAAATTATAAATTGATTTAATGGGGGAAATTCCTTTTATGATGTTGAGTCTATTTTCCATTTCATATCTTTGCATTTGTTCAATCTATTTTGTGTTCTAGTGTTTAAAGTTTTCCTCAATGTTTCTTTTTTATTTTTATAGTTTACTCTTTTTGCTAACATTATAATTGGGCTTATTTCTTTATCTCTGTTTGTATGTATAAAAGCTATTAATATCTGTATGTTAATTTTGGATTCTACTACCTTACTATAAAATCTCTTGTTTGAATTAGATTCTTCAGTGATTTTCTTGGGTATATACAACTGGTAATACAATACAGTTATATAGCCATCTACAAACCCCTTACTTTGGATTCTCACGTGTCTAATCTTTTTTTTTTTTTTTGCCTTTGTGTGAGACAAGGCATACAGAATAATGTTAAATAATCAGAGTATATATCTTTGTCCAGTTTCTAACTTTAATGTAAAAGCCTTCAAGTGCCATGGTATTGCTTCTGAGGCTCAGATAGATATATTCCACAAACTTAAGGGGAAAAGTTTCTACTTTCAAGGGTTATTATAAAGAATGTTTATTATGTTTTTCTCAAATGCATTTCCAGTGCATATGGAGATGATGTAATTTTCTTCTCTTTTTAATAATAACAAAATCTCTATTTTCTACTATTGAATCATCCTTGAATTAGTAGACTAAATCTTCCCTGGTTCATGCTCTATTTTGATTATGTCAGTCTCTTTGGGGGAGGGTTAAAGTCATAGGTGAGATTTGTCTCTTTTGTTTTTAATTTTGACTGTGTTTTGGTATCAAAATTATATTTTAAAAGAATTTGAAAACATTCATTCTTTACAAATTCTGAAGTAGTTTATACGGTAATGGATTTGGAGGCCCAAGGCCTGAACTTCCTGCCCTTGACAGGGCCTCCCAGTCATCTTTATCTTCTGTCTCTCTTCACCATGCCAGGTTCACAGTCAGGTTCAACAGAGTCCTCTTCATCCACAGATTTTGCCAAACCATTCCCTTGGCTGTAGTTTCATCAGAAAATATGTGAAGAGAGTAGGAATATCATTCTTCCATTCATATATACCCCTAATTAGATGATGAGGAATTTGGCTACCTTAAGACAGATTTCCCTGGTGGCTTAGACAGTAATGCATCTGCCTACAATGCAGGAGAGCCAGGTTCGACCCCTGGGTAGGGAAGATCCCCTGGAGAAGGAAATGGCAACCCACTCCAGTATTCTTGCCTGGAAAATCCTATGGAGGGAGGAGCCTGGTAGGCTATAATCCATGGGGTCACAAAGAGTCAGCCAGGACTGAGCGATTTCACTTTCACTTTTTCGAGACTCATAGCTATACCCATCAATTTACCTGCAACTTGGTGAATTTCTTCACTTTGACATTCAAAGTACTGGGCAAAAATTATGTCACCACCTGCCACAGCTTTTTGTACAAATTAACTTTCAATATTTCATAACTGAAAACCAAGAAATGCTACAATTTGTGCACAAAACTGTAGAGTCTAAAATTTAGTCTCTCAGACCACATGACTGTGTTAGCAGACAGAATACTTGCAAATATAAAATCCTTTAAAGTACTCAGATATGCCCCTTCCTGAGAAGTCTATTCTCTCCCGTACCTATTCTACTGAAAAGTAAATAATAAATTCTGTTCCTTCTAGAGACAACATAGTGGTACTCTGCAATTCCTATTTAGAGTACCTTTTAAAGAAAAGAAAGTCTTAATTCCCTAAACCAGATAATGTATGACATCAATAATCAAGTACCTAATGAGGCCAAAAGGTTGTGTAAAAAACAAATGCAGGGCTTCCCTGGAGGATCAGTGGTAAATAATCTGCCTGCCAATGCTGGAGACACAGATTTGATCCCTGATCCTGGAAGATTCCACATGCCAAGAAACACCTAAACCTGTGGGCCAAAAGTACTGAGCCTGTGCTCGTGAGCCTGGGAGCCACAACTACTGAAGCCCATGCACCCTAGAGTCCCTGCTCCAAAACAAGAGAAGCCACGGCAGTGAGAAGCCTGCACACTACGACTTGAGAGTAGTGATCACTTGCTGCAACTAGAGAAAAGCCCATGTAGCCACGAAGACCCAGCACAG